GGAGGGAGGGAGCAGTAAGTGTCGACGGAAACAGTAAGTATAGACGGAAGCAGACGACAGCATATGGTTAGAGAGCAGGAAAGGAGGTGAAAGGGGAACATTTAATAGAAGAGCTTTTTTCTTTGATGTCAGGTTCTTTACTTAGCTACATTATTTCTACATTTCTACCCGAACAGGTGGCCGTCTTAAACAATTTAGACAGTGTTTTACGTTTTATTATAAGGACATTGTATGAAACAACTACCTGTCCTAGACGGCCGTTTTTCTACCGAACAATAAGTTGCTGTGTTATACAAATTCGACAGCATATTTTATCGCGCCTTTTCTGCAGAACGGGACCGAGTGTCGGTGCCACACATTACGTGTGTGTGTGTGTGTGTGTGTGTGTGTGTGTGTGTGTATGTGTGTGTGTGTGTGTGTTTACAACAGGATGCCCAAGAGAGCTTGCATAGAATTAATGCACATATGTCTTATGGTAGGAAATGTGTACATACCTGGGGCCCCCTTTGTTGGATGTCATATTTGCGTGGGTCGACTTTTGATCACTTGAAACGGTGCTCGAACCCTGCTTGACCAATGACCGTGTGTCCTGCCACTTCTGAAGGATTTCTGGTCTCCGTCCAAAGCCGTCCTGTAGATCATCGTGCTGTCCGGGGGTTCTCCGGGTGGCAGAAGCGCTCCTGTGTGACGTGGCTTGGCGGACTTCTTTGAAGAGCTTCGAGCTCCCCATGTCGCAGTGCAGACTGTGGGATGTCTCCTGCGGAAAGGCGTGAGGCATTCCGTCCGCTGCGTGCCCATGTATAGCGGTATCGGCAAAACCAGTGGCGCCCCATGCACCAGAGTCGTCGGCCAGGTCACGGTTCACGTTCTCGGCGTAGTCAAAATCGTTCTCCACGTTGTTGCGAACTGTGATAGATCCGACCTTGGTGAACAGTGGCGCTCTCGGCGCCTTGTCGACTTTCTTTTCTTCTTTTTTAGTTGTTTCCATCCCAGCGTACTCAGGCATGTCCGTATCATCAGAATTCGACTCCAGATCAAAGTAGTAGCTCATGGTCTGTGCGACAGGTTTTCGTTGTTTCTCTTCAGAGGACGCTCTCGATTTTGAGGCCTCACCACCAGGACAACGGGCGTACAGACTGGGGGCATAGTCAGCGTCGTTGCCTCTTGGTGGTGGGGGTGGGGGTTCCTTCGAGTTTTTCTCGCCCTCGTCATAAAACACGTAGTTTGGATAGTTATTGTTTGCGTCCTGATACTTTGAGGAGTTGGCGTTGTAATTTCTGGGTTGAGGACAAATGGAGCTAGAGCCAGTGTAATCATTGTCATTGTGGTAGCTTGTGGAAGCGTTGGGATTCCCAGTTGAAGACGTGTGTGAAGGCCACTCTCGTCCATCCCATGTGACATTCACTGGACCGTGGAAATCGTTCTCTGTACCAGCATACCACGGATCTGTGGAGACTGGGGTTTCTTTAGGAACTTTCACTACCTCTTCTTGATCGTATTTTGAAAAATCAATCATTTTTGGTGACTCTTCAACCTTTACCACAGGTGTCCATGCTTTTGGTGCTTCCCCTGGTTGATAATCTGTGTATCCTTCACAGTCGGTGCATAATTCGTCTGCAAAGGTCATCTGGTCTTGACTGAAATTGTCATCACAAATAGCGAAAGCGCCGTGGGTGTCATCCAGCCAATTACTGCTATTGTTGGAGAAGTTGAATGGGTGTCTGGCAAAACTGACCAGTGCTTTACTGAAGAACTCTCCCGCCGAGTCTAAGCTTCTTTCTATGATCAAATCTATGGGTGGCTTGGCCTTGTGTCTTCGGTACAGGCGGTTTTGTTTGGTGGAGTTATTTGTACTTCCATCTTTGATAGCCTCAGTGACGGCTCCACTTGTGACTGCTTGCACAGCGTTGTCCAGTTCTTCCGACGTGGTCTCGGTTATATCAGACACGGAGGTCTTCATGACGTCACTCTCTGTCGTCCCGAAGCTACTTCCTGACAAATGGAAAATCTCCCCAGTGTACACGTCACTGCTATCTGTGTTCTCTGAAGTGGAGACACTTCCGCTTTCACTTTCAAAATACAGGCGACTGGATCCGAGAGAGCTGCTGACTTTACTCAGAATCTCGCTATCATTAGTTCTGTCAATTGAGGACTCCCGACTATTGAACAAAGCCCCGGTGTAAGACAGATCGTCTAGGACTTCACTTTTAATATTGGACCTGCTGCTCAAGTCTCCGCTCATCGTCAAACCTTTGTACGTGTTCACAGGCATTTCATAGAAAGGCTGGAACTTGGTTGTTGCAGTAAAGCGTTTTGCAATATGATAGAGACCACCCGACTCTCCGTCGTTCTCACAGTACATCAAATGTCTCCGGATTGTTGTGGGACTTTCTCCCGAGCCCAGGGCGAGGTCTCGAGACAGCGCAGAAGCGACAGTGGTATCGGGCTGGCTTCTCTCCGTCATGCCTTGGAACAGTTGGCTGGCGAGGGATTTATTCTCTTTTGTTCCATTAACTTGATTTAGGGTGTATATATACTCAGTGCTATCAATGCCAGTTTCCTTGAAACCCGCAATGGGCTTCGGTTCGCCATGGTAAATAGAACTCTCATTCTCCCCGAAAAAGTTCGTTACTGAGTTTTGTACTGGCTCCTTCCAATTTTCTGACTCGGGTTGAATGCCTTCAAAATACTGATCCAATGTATTAGCATCACTCTGCCTTAGCACGGACGGCGGTAGATAATGTGTATCATTAACAAGACTTGTCAATGCCAACTCCACAGCGCCCGTGAAAGCTGGCTGCTCAAAATAAGCGCTTTCTTTCGATTTATCAACTTCGTCACTTGTTTCTTGTTGTGTCTTTTGTTCAGGCTCTTGCTCTCCGTACTTGTATTTGTTGAGGAAACTTTTCCCGTCATCCCCAACAAGACCATATTTCTGCAGCCTCTCGGTTATGGGATCGTCTGCTGTTATCGCTGCCGGTGCTGCTTTCACGATATTTGTAGATGACCACGTCCCAGATTGCGCTCCAACCGAACCCTTCAAACCGCCCTTTTGTCCGGGAACCATAACTGTAGGGGCATACAACGGCACCTCGGGTTTTTCCGAGATATCATCTTCTTCGTCTTCTTCCTCTGATGAAGATCCGTTCATCTTCATCCCTTGCATTCTTGTTAAGGTGTTGCCCTTTGATGACACAGTGCCCTTGTTGGACAGGGAATTCCGAAAAGTCTGTTTCGAGTCGTTTTTGCGTCGGCTAAGAAGAGAATTCGTCTTTCCCCGACTGTTAAGCCCATCCTTACTTTTCGAGCTTTCTTTTCTAAAAGACTTGGTTCTCAAACTGGTGTTGGAGCGAAAGATGCCCATTTTTTTCTTCTCTTCCATCTTTTCTTTGTTGAGAGCCAGATCTTTGCTTTCCTTGATAGTCATTGGCTGATAGCGCACTTTTGAATTATCAAGATTTTCCCCTCTCATGTTTTTCTCTCTCTGCAGGGCCCTTTCTTTCGCAAGTTTTTGAGAGGAAATAGTTATTCGAGACATAGCTTTTCTCGACAATTTTGAGTTCTCCTTGTTTGGCTCCACTTCGCTGATATTTTTCGGCTTCTGGGTATTATGCTCAACTTGCTTGACAGCTTTGCGCTGTTCTTGTCTCGTACCTTCAACCCCTTTGAAGTTTTCCTCTTGAACGCTTTCCTTGTTTTTGTTCCACAGTCTCTTCATGCTCCACTCAGTTTTTGCTCTCGTCACTTTCATCTTGGCAGTGTCCTGCTCGGTGCGGGCTGGTGTTTTCACTGAGCCACCTTTGAGGTCAACGTTACTGGCTTGTTTTGCTTCATCTTTTTCAATTATGTCTCTTCCTCTTTCTTTATTGTCTACCGCATTGGATTTGTCTGGATAGGCAAATGTTTTGCTTTTAGAAAACATTGTTGGCTTGTCACTGCTACGGTCATCCATATCAATTTTCCAAAGATCGCTAGCCTCGGTGCTGTTTTCCGTAGGAGATGTTGTCACTTTTTTGTCCTCAGAACTCTCCTCCTTTTTCCGACTAGGCATAATACACACTCCGCCTTCACACGGACCCCCACTGAACAAATCTTCCTCCTCTTCTGGAACATTGGGAGGTGAAGCATCGTCATCGTTGAAGGCTCCGAATTTGACTGAAGACGTGTTGGTTACAGCTGCAATGTCTTCTGCTGTAGTCGGTTCGACTGGATTTTCATTCCAGTACTGACTGTTTACAGCCGGGGCCTGGGCGCCTTCGTCTTGTTTTTCTTCAGAACTTACGCTGACTTTATCGAGTGGATTTTCAGGTGCGCTGTTCTCCAAATTTTGAGATTTTTCAGTATAGTAACCCAAAGTTTTCATCTCTTGCTTGTTTTGCCCTGCTTCGGATGGAGGCTGTTGGCTGCAATTTTCTTCATTGTTCTCAAATATCTTGGGTACCAGCCTTCTCACAGAATCTAACAACGGTTGATTCCCGGCTTGACTATAGTAGTCTTTTCCTACTGCGCCACTGGGTTCTACTGCTACAATTCTAGACACCTGATCCTTCACAGTTTTCGTAAACTGCTTGAATTCTTCCAAGTTCCCGATCCGAACTCCCTTCTCCTGAAACTGAGCCCAGCACCCTTTACAGATACCACCGACACCACTTTGAGCTTTCCTGCCACAGATGCTGCAAGAGGTAGACATGACAGACGCAGCCGGCAAAACCATGTTCTTGGACTGATCAAATCCATTGGTGTAGGTGCTTTCGTGATCGAGTTGTGACTGATCGAAGGATCCTTCTGTAAATGCAGTGCCTGTAGTTTTATTATACATTTTTTCTTTTTCAGTTGTGATAGCAGAGGACATTTTCAATCGGTTATTTAAATGGGGGGCACTTTTGCTCTTGTCTCCGGGAAGTTTGTATACAGACACTTCCTTAGCTTTATTATTGTAACTTCCCTGAGTATCTGAGTTCTCACCCGTGATACCTTTCTGCTTTTTTGATCCAGCGTTCACGACTTTCTTGAGGGCCGTTTTCCCGGCTTTTCTCAAAGATCCTTTGATGCTGTCTTGTGGTTCTGTCTTGCCACTGGATCCCACGATGTCGAGTCTTCTTCTCTTCTCGGGCGACGGCGTGAGGCTCGACACCTTGTCTTGCACATCATCCGCGTCCGGGTTTGCCATTCTGTGGGTGACATGACGTAGGATAATCTTTACTACAGCTCGTCTAATACCCAAAAAAAATTTTTTCGAAAAAGTTTTGATTCCATCTAATTTGAACCTTCAGATTTCAAAAAGCAATCCTGATTGCTAATTTGTCTTGTTGAACAATATTTTTTTCAACATTAGAGGTTGATGTGAAAGGTACTTTACCCTCAGCACGGATAGCTTTTTTTCCGCACGTCCACCAGAGGTTGAAAATAAATGTATTTACCGTCCAGTACGGGAACATAATATTTCGTTATAGGTTTTTTTTCTACGTTCTTTGTTTCAAGCAAGCAAAACTCCCCTTTTAACACATGATAATTGGAAATTTCCAAAACTGGAAGCCATATTACCAAAGATAGTAAATAACAAGATGGGCCACTCAGCCAAAAAAGTGTCCGCAAGAAGTTCGCTCTTTGCTTCAGATGGCGCTGCAGTCTGTTTTGAAGCTCTCTTTCGTTTTTCCAGAAGAAGAATAGGAATAGCACCCCCTTGCATGCGCAGATCGACTGCTGTTCATCAGCAGTTCGGGTTCGTTCAATGCGGAGTTAAAGGTTTAAAAAAAATTATTTTAATGACCTCTCGCCTTTCATTCTAAAGTCAAATTAAACGAAGAAAACAATCACCCTTTCCTCCGGAAGAGGTTTTTTGTCAGCGTAACCATTTTTTAAAAAGCGTTCTTCCGAAATTTATTCAAAAACTTGCTAGTTTCACTTTGATTTTTTAAACTCAGGTAGGGTAACTCTGTTCGCAAAGGGTGCGCCTTTGTGAAGAGGGCGCCACCGAATTTTGAGGACACTTTTTTAATTGGCTCAAAGACAGAAGTGGCCCCTCTTGTTATGTAGACTCTTTGATATTACAGAAAGAGAAAAAAGAGGAATCAACTTTCTCATGTACTTTTAAAACGCAGGTCGATTATAATGAAATGATACAGCCCAAACTGTAAGTCATCACATTTTTAAAGTCAATATCTTTTTCTTAAACAAAAACAACAACAACAAAAATCCTCAACACATTGCTTGATATTTCGGTCTAAAACCTTTAACTTATATGATTAGAATAAATTATATTGATGCAAGATTACTGATGATAGTTTGATAAAATTAGGGGCAGGCAGTAAAAAAACAACCAAACTTGGTTCTTGAAGAGTGCCTAACAAATGAATCAATGACTCCTCATATGACACAATGTGTTTGGTATTTAAACGCACGTCCAAGTACATCTTCTTTAAAGACTTAATATATGTAGAAAAAATGTTATAAAAAAAAAATAAAAATAAAGATAAACGAACAATAGAGCTGCTCAGACCTGTATGCAAAGGCGAGCAAATTCTTTCCCATCTTGGTGTCGGAGGAGCTGTTGGAATGGGTGGCTGATATTTGATACTCCCTCTCCCTGTGCCTAGATATCAGCGGACTCTGATGAGGAAAGACAACAGTGAGAACAAGTTATTGATAGCCGTCTTTTTTATTGGGGGGGGGGGGGGGGGGGAGGGTAGTAAGAGTTTTGCGGCACCTGTACCAAATTAAAGTCAGATTAAGTGTCGAAGAACAGACGTATTACAGGAGCGCAACAAACAAAAAAGAGGAGAGATAAAAGGACGCTAGATGTTTGATAGGAAAGAAAGATCAAAATACACCAGAGCACCCGCTAACCATCCAATATTAAACCGTCTTTTACTTGTTTCATTCATTTAGAATTCAGGGTTTGGAGGTGTTATTTTCTGTTTGAGTACACGTCTATTTAGGGCATTACTGAAACAAATTGGTCATCGTCAGGATTTTGCAATACATATCTTGGCAAATAAATACTATAGAAGGAACACAAGTTATTTCTATCTGGCATTTTAAAACCTTCTTTCTATAGTATTTATGTCAAGACACTGCAATGTCATGGGCGCGCCATTAGCTCTGGTTTCTCATTCCTGGTATCACGTTGAACTATGATACGAATGATCCTGGTTCAAATCCTGAACAGAGCATTTTTGAATTTCTGAAATATCTTATAATAGTGGAAGAGATATAATATACAGCTACTTACACAACAGCTCGCCTCCCCTAAGATCAAGTTGTATCAATAAAGAAAGAGCTGACTTGCGATCTACGTGACTGACCCTCAAGTACAGAAACACTTTTCGTTATGCCGGGTTAATATGACTGAATTTACATCACTCATTATTAATACAGTCCTATATGTATGTATAGTATAAGGTTTTACGGCGCTCGCAACTGCTAAGGTCATATGGTCCGACCTTTCTTTAAAAAAAAAAACAACTAACAAAAGAACAATGTACCAAGAAGCTTTCCCTACAAAAGATACACAGTGAAGTAAGTAAATCGACAGCTCAGTTGTGTATGACACCGTCATACGTCAATTTTCCAAACGGCGTACGGCGGAGT